GACCGTGATTTGCACGAACGTCTGCGCGAACAAAATATAATTAGATTGATTTACGCGAGAAATTTCCCCGTTTATATACATCTTCCTGAGTGTGGGTACCAGCTAAACTAATTGTAATAGTGCAAAACTAAGAATAGGGTAAAGTTCAACATTTTTCCTACGTATCTATGTAGGAATAATAATGTAGCACAAAGCAGGTTGGGAAAGCCCTACTTTTTCTGAAATATCATGACTCTAATATCATATAATTTTAGGTATGAAATCTTGCAGCTCTAATGTCATGTGTTTTTGTTTCATTAAAAAGATTGTGGTTTGCACTCTGCAAACTTGTCATAAAATAACAATCAATCAATACAATACAATCTGCATTACATTAACACTCCTGCCAAAATATCCTGCAGAATGTAGACGTAGTAACAACAAGTCAACCCTAAATGTTTCCTCAAAGATTGCATTAATGCATTGCATATTTGATTGTTGATTGATTGTTAACAAAAGTGCACGGTTGAGCAGCAATATTCCAAATGTATTGAAAATTCTTCATGATGGAGCCCGGGAGCCGCAAGATTTCAGAAACAAGTAGGAAAATTCCAATCCTTGCAAAACCAAAAATCATGGCTCCAAAAATCCAGTTGCAGCTTGCCAACATCAAGTAGATATTTTATGCCTGGCACAAAAGCAAGTTAAAAAAATCATACATTTACCATGTCTAAAAATCCCTGGATAACTGTGAAAAGTGAGATTTTGGAGAAGTAGGGTAAACGCGGTATATTCCATCATTGTGGGTAATTCCGTCACCTCTCTAGTTTTTCCTTTATATTAAGCTTTGTTTTAGTTCCATGCGTTCGTTGATGGTTGAAATGGTGACTTCATACATTTGCGTGTTGACGGTTGAACTAATGCCAAAACACTAGGTCTTGGCCATCTAGCGGGAAAATATTGAGATCCAAAGAGAGACAATGCACGCTACCCAGTGAGATCATCAAAAAATGTGTNCATACGGTTATTTTTTTTTATAGTTTTTCATTTCTCGATGCGTCCTTAATGTGATGGAATATACCGCGTTTACCCTACCTACATCTGCTAAGGTCTGTAGCAACAAAAAATTATTCACCATATTAAAAAATTTTACTTATATAAAAGTTGTACACAGGTGTTGGCTTAAAAAGGTGATTGAGGAAATTTACATAGATTGATCCAAAAAATGGGCAGCCATTCCCACAAGACGGGGTAATAAGGGACACCCCTAAAAATGCATTTGCAGTAGAATCTTGGTTAGCAACGGCTCAAGTTATCTAAAAAATCAAATAAAAACTAAGAATTTTGATAACATTTACCTTGCTCAGCAAAGAAATTTTGTTTAACAAAAAATTAATGCATCATACGCAATTTTTTAATGAGATGGGCAAATGCTGCCAATCACGTTTTCAAGCCAACACATGTGTGCAACTTTCATATAAGTAACATTTTTCAATACGGTGAATATTTTTTTTTGCTACAGACCTTAGCAGAGGTACTTTTCCAAAATCTCACTTTTCACACTTTTTCTCAGGGATGATTTAGAGGTAGTAAATGTAAGATTTCTTAACTAACTTTATGCTACATAAATAGTAAAAATGTGAAACTTTACACTAATATTTTTAGTTTTGCAATATTTTTATTAGTTTAGCTGCTGCAACACTTATACAAAATGTGGGACAACTGTCTCGATTTGCTCCACCCGTCCCTTATTACCCCTTTGACGGTTCCTCAAAATGAAGAAACCAAGAGGAATAAAACTTCTCCCCCTGCCTATGTCAACTTCCTAATTGTTAAAAGCTCTCTCTATCATCTCTGCTCCTACCTTTTTATTAATTATAACATTGCAAATCTAATTAATTTATGCCTTCTCTATTCATATTCTTGCAATACATTTTTTGGACAAGCATGGCAAAGCGTTTTTGGCCTTCTTGGTAACATTCAAAGACTTATTGTACATATGAATATTTATATTCTGGTAGGCATGCAAAAATAAGAAACCATAAAAAAGTGCAGGCATTAGCTTTTTATTTTTCAGCTCAACTAGTACCGTATTGGTCATTGTGATTGTTAACTTGGTTGTGAGTTCTTATATAATTTATATAGGTATATTAAATTATTTAAGCCCACTCTATTTTAGTTTCAATAATATGGTATTTTTTTTTAAATAATATGATCTGACATTATTATTTATTAAAATAATATTCTCTGAACTAAAAAACATGAACCACTATGTGTTTTAAGATTAAAATGGTCTGATCAACACTTGCAGGTTGTAACTGTGCTTTCATCATGGGGAAACTTGACGTTTCTTTATTGCAGTACATAACAAAAGAGGACTTCAGAGTTCTTCTTGCTGTGAGTATTTTCTGCCAAAATAAATATTACCAAAAGGATTGGGGTGCTTGGCAACCTATTATGTATGTAAGACAATGGTTCCAAATATGTGTACTTTGTTATTTCCATTCTTAGTGAACATTTACTCAAATTTTATTTTCAAACATTTTTTATTTGATTATTTCCCTTTTAACATGTGCCATTTGTGATTTGAAATAAACTAACTTTTTAAAATAATTCAATCAGATTGAAATGGGCATGAAGAACCATGAGCTGGTGCCTGGTCCTTTGGTTGCACAAATTGCAAACCTGAAGGCTGGAGGAGTCTTCAAACTTCTAAGGAAGGAGCTGTGCATGCACAGACTGGCCACCTATGAGCGAGGCAAACACTGTGAGTTGATCTTCTAATTATAATTTGTCTTCTTTGTTTTTTACCTTTAAAATGTGAAAAATACTCTTACAAAAATGCTAGAAATTCCAGGATGGAAAATGCTCAGGATTAAATGTATCGTAGAATTGACCAAATTTTTGTTGTACCAGAGGTACTACAATATTTAATGGTTTATTGAACCACGAATTTATTGAATTTCTGTATTCATATTTTCTAAACAAAAGTTTGAGAGTCTTGGTTATAACTCAATCAATTATCTCTTTTTTTTCCAGATGATGGATACAGACTAACAAACCGCGGTTACGATTACTTGGCTCTCAAGAGCCTTGCTGAGCGTGATGTTGTTGTCGGAGTTGGCAGTCAGATTGGAGTGGGCAAAGAGAGTGACATTTTTGTAGTGAAAGGACAAAATGACAAGATGTTGTGCATGAAGCTTCATCGGTGAGTTTAGAATACCGGAACAATTGGTTTATGCAATAATGTTACTTAATAGCAATTTGTTCAAATAATTTGAAATCCATCACACTAAAAACAGGTGATCATAAATAAGTCGACTACATAATTTTCAGTATATTTATGGATGTGTTTGTGAGTGTGTGTTTTGAATACTGGCACCACAAATAAATAGGGAACATAGACATTGTGAAATGAGAAGAGTTAAATTTCTTAATTTGAATGTGATTTTTACTTTGGTATGTGCAAACCTCAGTAAAAAACTAGATCAGGTTTCATATAGATATGAAAACGGGGATGGAACAGGAGTTCTGTGCTAAATATTGGTTTGAAAGGTTCCATCTCTGATTAGGGTACTTTTTCAAAAATAACTTCTGGATTTTTTATAATGGTATTAAGAAATACTAGTAGAATTCAAACTAACGAAATTCTTAAATTGCAAAGATTGCCCATCACAACAACGCCTCGTTAACCTTATTAGTTTATAATCATCTTTATTTAGTAATGTCAGAGGCTCATTCTATGACGATGGAGTTCCACGTTTGTGCCAAAACGTTATCAGAAACGTTCTGCGTACTAAATTCAATTATGTAAATGGATGACGGTCACAAGTAAATGGATGACGGTCACAATTATTTATGCATTAGTTAAATCTTCATGAAGGATTCTATTATGAATATTGAATTGTTCACAGGTTGGGCCGAACATCTTTTCGCAAGCTGAAAGAGAAGCGCGACTACCACAAAGGCCGGCAGATGTCCTGGATTTACCTTAGTCGCCTCTCAGCCACTAAGGAGTTTGCTTACATGAAAGCTCTTCACGAGAGGGGTTTCCCTGTTCCTGAACCTATTGATGTCAACAGACACTGCGTTATAATGGAACTTGTTAACGGTTATCAGCTGTAAGTGCTCATATATTTTCCATGCGAATTCTGAATAGCAGCTTATAAAGTACCTACCTTGCATGAAATTCACAGTTTCCACACATATTTTGAATAGTAGTTTCCCTACTATAATGTAGGAGACGAGTTCAGCAGAGAAATAGTAATATTTTTTTCTTGACCGTCTAATGCGTGCTTGTCTTTTTCTGTCTTGCCCAAAGGTTGAGAACAATTTTACAATCAAAACCACCAGTCTCTGTAATGTTATATATCACAGGTGCGCTGAGGATGAAAGAATAGTGTTAATTCTTGCCTGTGTCTGAAACAACTGTAATTTGTAGACATCACGTGACATCTGCCTTATCCACAGAGGATAGGAGAGTGTAGGATTAATGTCACGTGTAACTAAGACAATTGTAATTTGCAGACATCAAGTGCACGACGTAGCCAACGCGGCACAGTTGTACAGCGATCTTATGGAGCTTATTGTTCAACTAGCCAACAACGGCGTCATCCATAGCGACTTCAACGAGTTCAACATCATGGTCAGCGACGAAGACAAACCAATCATCATTGATTTCCCTCAGATGGTCTCTACCAGCCACGAGAACGCTAAAATGTGAGAAAATGTTAAATTCGTTTCGTATATCAAGAAAGTAAATTATTGAAATCAAATTTTTAAGATTGATATGGACAATTGTTTATTTTCGATTCACGATAAACAAATCCACATACAATAAATTCATAAATTTTAGCTGGTAGAATTATATGAGGTTATAAGGATTGAATTTAAAAATGTGGCGGAAGGAAAAAAAGTTAGTAATATTCATGAGCGTCTAACGAGAATTAATTTCTTTACTAGCAATATCCGTCGTTGCAGGTACTTTGACCGTGATGTGCAATGCATCATCACGTTTTTCAAGAAGAGGTTTGGTTACGAAAGTGAGCTATTCCCGGACTTCGATAAAGACGTGCAGTGAGTTCATTATTTTACATCATCTAAGTCATTGAATTGAAAAACTTGCGCATGCTTGAAGGTACTTGCATTCAATTAATGTCATAATATTATCTATATGTTGTTTAATTGATTTTTTTAACTAGTTGAGAGCATTTATCAAAATTTTCCGCTTAATATTGATTTGGAATTTCGGAAGCATATGCATCGTTATTACAGCTTTTGTGGAATTTGCTTTGCGTTTGTGGGCTGTTTGCTCTGCAGCTTTCTTAGTTTTAGATTTACAGTGGTAAAAAATAGAAAGCAGTTGAATTTAAATTATCACTACAATAATAAAGAACCTTGCTCCTGGCAGGAAAGTTTTTGAGCTGGACAAAAAAGTCGCGGCAAGTGGCTTCAAGAGAGAAATTAATGAATTCGACGAAATGCTGATAAGCAGGGAGAATGCAGAAGAAGTGGAAGAAGAAAGTGATGATAATGACGACGACAACGACGACGACGACGACGAAGAAGAAGAAGAAGAAGAAAAAGATACAGACGGCGACACTAGCAACGATTGCGAAGCATCTGATGAAGACGATGAGCCTGAAGGGAAACTGAAGCAAAAATCAAGTGGCTTGCGTTCAGCATATTCTGAAGCAAACGAAGAAAATTTGAAAGCTGCCGATTCTACGTTTACAGCAACCATGGAAATGTATTTCAAAAGTATGAAGAATGTGAAGGTTGCGTCGAGTGATACCAACAGCTTGAATTGCTGTCTCGGTGGGATATGCAACACTGAATGTCTGGCCAAACGAGAATTGATGAATGGAAGTTTGGCCACTGTATCAGAAAACCAGGTTTTAGCCAGTCCTGAGAATCAGACGCTCAAAAGCTTAAATGATCTCACCGTCACCGACAAAGATTTCGACACGCGATCGACAACCAGCAGAGGCAGTCGTCGAAGCACAAAATCACGAAACACTGGCCAGAAACTCGACCCTGAAACGCGGCAAGCAATGATGGAAAAACTGGTGAAGGCGCGTGAGCAGCGGAAAAAGGCTGAAGAGAACGGTGAGGTAGTACCGAATTTGATGGAGGTAATGGAAAGCACGCGGCAGGATGACGACCGCCTCACATGCATCAGCTTTTCGACGCGCGCGAGCACCGTCGACCCTGTGGTGCTGAAGCTCAGAGCGCAGCGTGAGTACGAAAAGAAAGAACAAAAGCAAATCTCAAAGAAGAATTTGCGTGTCAAGGGTGAGGCTAACGCTTACACCAGAGCAAAGAAAGAAAATGTGAATAACATCAAGCAGAGCATGGCGTGTGCAGATGTCTGGGGATAAATTTTTACGAGTCGAAGTTTTTTTATATCCTGCGCAAAAGCCTGTGTAGAGCACACTTATTTTACTACGGCTAATGCGAGCACAACGGCTAATGCGTATGAGCTATTCATCACTACATAACACAGAAAATACAGAATAATGTATGGATAAATTATGCAAATTGATTTGATCCGAAGATCGAACAATTTTTACTGAACTCGATGCGAAAACAACTAGCACCACATTCTATACTAAATACTACCGTTCAACCACATCGAGTTAGCAAGTCAACAACATTAAGCATACAGTAGAATATTAACGGTATAGCCTAATGCGAATACTTGCAACTGAAGTGAAGATGTAAGAAAGTATGATCGAGGCCTACTCTAAGGCAACGCACAAACTTCTTACATTGTATTCTATTGTATGATCTAAAATTCAACTATTGCCCGATCGAGCCTCGCTCCACAAAAGCAGAAGAATCAGTCACGCCGACCGAAAATAACGAACTTTTGCACGTCACGATTCCCATTCGATGGCATTATCATAATTCTTTCCTGTAATCTTTAGAAAGATGTGATGTATATCAGTATATCATAACTTTGATAAAAAAAAGGAGTACATCCTACAACGCTCATCGGGACATGTATATTGGTGGGTGACGTTTCAGAGTGATTCTTAAGAATAGCAGCCCAATCCTGACCCCATACTTTAAAAAAAAAGTTAAGAGATCGTAAGTTCATCAGCCAATCATTGACGTCCATTCACGCAAAATCCACCAATCATTGACAAGAAAATAGAACGTAAGTACTTACGTTCACTTAGCGTGTTTTGAAAGTATGGCCCCTGAACACTCTACTTCACTAATCATCATATGCACTTGGTATTGAGTTTCAGGACATGGACTGCTTCCATATTGGTGGTAATTTTATCCTAAACCATCACAGCAAAAAAATAGAGAAAAGCGAGATATTTCATTCGCGAACATTAAGTTAAAATTATTACACTAATAAATAACTCAACAGTTTATATTTGTGCGTGACAGAGATCTATTTCAACCACACCCACAAAAGGTTTCTGGCACCATTACAAAAATCAACTATTCTATGAAAAGCTTGACCAAAAACACGCTCCGACCCATTCTCTGGTATACACAGATGGAGGTATATGCTATGACGAAATATAACCGCAATAGTGACACTTGACGCTTGGAAAAATGAGTACATTTATCATAACAAATGAAAACTCAAAATAAATTCTCCAAATCATTCACATCGTATAGCCAAATTTAGAAATGAATGATCACTCGAGGCATTGTTCAGAAATTTTAAACCCCATTAGAATCATTAATTATTAGTTACACAAAATTCCTCGGACTTAAAAGAAAATCTATAAAAAATTTACAAATAAATTGAAAGAAAAAGACGAATCTTTAGTTGAGAAAACCTTTGCGAAAGCAGTAAAGAAGTAGCCGATATCATATACGCTATTTACACACTTATGAGGCGAGTGAAGAGTCTCACCGTTGGACACAACTAAGAAAACAAAGCCGCAACTACTTTCTGTAACGAGACTAGGAGCCAGGAATATTAAGCCGACCAGACAACTATGTAATTGTGGGCTGAAAACACCAAGCCAGTACATCGAGAGTACACCTGCACGAAAGACAGACAAACGTACAGTACATGGAAGCCATTAGAGTATACCGAGCCTCAAGTAGCTCTGAGCACAGAATTTGGGATAAATGACATCAAACTTTCCGATAAAAATGAAGCAAATCACTTGTTACTTGACAAGTTCTCGATCGATTTGATTGATCCCTGAACATGTACGCTGCTCAGTCGATTATGATCACTCCAATAACGACGGTCCAACAGCTAAATAAAATTCAGTATTAGTGCCAACATTTGAGACCGCCTCATCACTGGCTAAAATTCGAACGCCGTAGTAGGTGCTGAAACATTGCAGCAGCTTTCTTACTCTAAATAAGAGCTGGAAATTTAATAGTCGATCAATGTAAACTTTTAATAGTCCAATAAAGCAATTGTGACTTTAATGCGATTTAAAAAATATGACGACAGAAACTATCAAACATTGCCACACGGAAAAATAATTCGTCTTCAGAAGTTCAAATACCTTAATTTCGTATTTTTCTTGGGTCGGAGGTCAAGTGGCCCTCTGGGTAAGCAAATCGAGTTGAAAGCACCAAATTGCAGATGCTAATATCTGCTTCCCAAGTTACGCTATGTATATTATCAACATATTCTAACGCAATCAAATGTTGCTAACTATCGCACAACCATCAGTAAGGTCCAATAAAAAAGTTTAGACATTGACCTAATTCTAGAATCCACATACGGAACCCAGACATCATAAAACAAATCAAAATTGATATGTTTAAGAGTGCATTACACCTATATCAAGGATGTGAAAGTATTTCCACGGACAAGTAAGACCTTGGTGCATGAAGTAAGTGAGCACAATTTAAGACTTAAATAGATAATCTTTAAACACATCACTGCAGAAGGCAAAAAGTTGTTGGCAGAACTGTTTCTACTGTTTCCCGAAAAGATTGATGAAAACTTACTGATGAATAAACACGGTAATGCTAACAGGATCTACCAAACAGTGTAAAAAAAGAAACGAGCTTTAAATAAAGTTCGTGAGAATAAGGAATATTGTGAAAGGTCAGATATTATAAGAATATTAGTACACATTACAACCTTTTTTGATGCGATTTAACCAACCAAAGTGATACCGACTTCAAAATGAACGTTCATCGAATAAAAGCTAAATTTTCTGCAGTGATGTATACCGGTACATACTAAAAATAATAGAACTTTCTTTTAAAATGAATGGGATCGTATGAGCAACAATGAAATTGGGGAAATGTAAAACCGGAATGAGTTACAAGGGTTTAAAAGAGAGTAAAGAGAGTAAAATATTAAAAGTAAACCACAAATAAATAAAGTACGATAAGGAATATTAAATTGTGTGAAAACAGTTAAAAAAATATAACTCAGTACTCACTGCAGTGAGTGACAGAGAGCGCATTTTCTCGTCGACGAAAACTTGAGGTCACGGACAGACGGACAGACAGACAGACGGACGGACGTGGCGAGCACAATAGTGCATTTTTTTCATAAATGAAAAAATGCGCTAAAAAGGAAGAATAAGAATAATGAACTTACAGTTCTGCTTTGTTCATTTCAGGTCGATCTGAGATGAAATTTAAACCTATTTAAATAAATATTTATATGAAATATATTTCTATATTTAACTGAAATCGGGCATTGGCAGCTAGGATTGCAGACTAATACGTCCCCAGTCATCACTCTTTGGTCCCAGCACGAAAATTAAAATAGTTTCAGCTCCGCAAGTGTGCGTCAGCATTAGATGCTATCAAAGTTTACCATCATCAAAAATTGACCAACAACACGCAGCAGATTAATACAAAGTAGTATATAATACGACACAGAAACGAGAGTAAAGACAATTCTTTACTAGCAACAACTTCCGAAAAATTCAACTCCCACATTAATACTCGACAACAGTGCAATGTGCAGTGCAAGAACAGCTTTGGAAATTTGAACTGATGTCAGAGAATGGTCACAATGAATCGCGTCTAACGTTTTAATAATATTAGAATACATGAAAGCTTCTTTAAATGAGGAATGCTATTAACTTGTCTCGGCAAATTAATTGGAATGAGTTACGTACTGCTAATCAACCTACAATCCTTCATAGATTGCAGGCAAGCAGAGTGCTGCTATGAATGTCATGGTTATACAGCAACCAACTAAATGCATTCATCAGATAACTGATATGATTACCGGTTACCATGCGCAAAATAAATAAGGATTGGGCAAAATAAATAATACTCATATTATGAAGATAACAAGAACCATCATACATCTTCGAAGATCACGAATAAAACCCTGCATTGGAAAAGATTTCTTTGGAGTAGCTACACCATATTTAGCGTCATGGAAAGCGTACATATACAAAGCGCATAACTCGACCGTAATCGCAAACTAGGGCGCAGGTCTGAAAAAGTGCGTAAGTTGACAACGTAGCCTGGATACTGCAGTCATACTTCCTACATTGGACATCATTTACAGCGAACCTTTCTGACCAAGAAACCTGCTGAGTTTATGAGACTTCTTTTACTTCGTCATCAGAATCACTGTTAAAACAACATTTCACAATAACAACTATTTACAATATGAATTTCGTGAACGCTAAAACTATGTCTTTCAAAAAGAGATAGAAGTTTTATAGGATCAGTGCTTACCAAGTAAATAAAATGTTCATGAAAAGGGAAATAATATGAAATGTCTTAAAATACTAGAGATAATTTGTCAAATAAAACCTTTGTATTGAATACGGCTTAGTTGAATCGAAAATAGACTAAGAAAAAACTTCACTTGAAATTAAAAGACAATGAGATCCCTAAGTTAAAGTAAAACAAACAACAACAACAACTAGACGTTCATGATTTTCTTGAACTATTTGAGACAATATCGAATACATCGATTTTCAGATAACCCTGGAATGCACGATTGATGAAACTTATGCACTCAAAATTGCACTTCAATAAGTCAGCAACAAATACTTAAACAGCGATTAACAAGAATTTGGTATGGTCAATGACGTGTGAAAATAAAATATTACATACGTCAATGGGTAGTGTTGGTATACCAGACTGACGAGGTCAACTCAAAATGTATTTAAAAAATCAACCAGTACTCATCCAATCAACCAGTACTCAATCCGCATCCACGAGTTCAAAAAATACCCCACCACAATACCAGTCGTCAAATGGGAAACGGACAAACCAAAAACACAGCCAAAACCGAAAGTAAAGACTTCATCATTGGAACCTTCGTGGTGCAATGTCGTTATTGAAATAATGTCAAAACAAAGTTTCGACTTTGCCCACAATAGCACTTGATAATAACACTGTTTGAACCATCATCCTTTAGGAATGCAGAGCTAGGGCATTCATTATTAACGATTATGTCCTTGGTAAAATAAACAAGCTATTTTCACTCATTTTCAAACAATAGCGATATTGACCAACCCTGACGAAGTTCAAAACATGGCGATAATAACAGCCAATGACGAAGTTAAGAAAATTTCGATATTAATTATCAATGACAGTTCAAACGATGGAAACATTAACGTCAAGGACAAAGTTCAAACAATGGCGACATTAACCAAGGACAAAGTTCAAACGAAGGCGACATTAACTGTCAAGGACAAAGTTCAAACGATGGCGACATTAACCGTCATCCGTCAAGGACAAATTACGAACGATGGCGACAATAGCCGTTAGTGAGGAAGTTCAGACGATGGAGATGCGCCAGTCGAGCAGGTGCGAGGCTCGCGTTCTGTTTCAGTGGCACTCGCTGTATCACGAATGAAGAGCCAAGGGCGCGTCAGCCTCATCCATGTCTGCGATGGGCTCAGTGCTCGACACAGGGTGACCTGTAATACAAAGTGTGTGCATTTCAAGACCATAAAAGGTGGCCTGTAATATGAAGAGTGTGTATTAAAGTGGCACAGTACTTCTAATAGGCTTAGTGAGTTTAGTATGTCTGCCCACTCAAGCCCTGAAGGCCTTTGTACAGCTTGGAATTCCACGCACACATAAATTTTCAATAAATATCGACAAAGTAAAACTCTTTTTGAATTACAGGCTAATGGCAAATGCCACACCACTTTAGAAGTTGAACAGAAAATTATTTCTTAATATATTTTGGCACTTTCATTAAAAATCCAGGTTCAAACATTGGCATTAATACGAACCAGTTTTCCTCTCGAAATTCACGAGGGAATTGAACATGACAAATAATTTAAAGGCAATATTTACGTGGAGAGTAGTCAGCGCTGCCGGGCTGACACTTTTGCAGGAGGTAATTTAGCAGCGCAAAGAGCACGCCAAAGATGACGTTGAATAACCCAAAGGCGAAATACATCGTCTGTCCACTGTACTGGAAGAACAGCACTCCGCCCACCAACCCTCCGATGGCTACACCTGAAACGGGAAGATACGCAAGGAAATTTGGATAAAATTTTCATCAGATCAAAAGCTCGCGACAAATATAAATTATTTCCCACAATTCAGATTAAAATAATTATTTTTTATTGGACCTATCATAACTTGTTCTATTTACAGTACATACTACAGTATGAGAATTTCATCAATCGATACTTGGAGTTCATTTCGGTAATATAGGAACCCTTATAATACAATATTAAAACGTAACATTGATGACTCTAGAGGGTATTCAACTTTAATATGATATAGGATTTTATAAGCTAAACATGATCAATGTTACCGAGGCCTTCGAAAGAAGCCCCAAGCAGCGCCTGCACTGTAGCCTCGGCGCCCGGGACAGTGACGACGCTGGCGTACGTCGCCATGGTCGTGTAGAAGAGGCCAAATGTTAGGCCTTGCAGCACCTCGATAGGCAGGAACAGCCACGGGTTCTGCACCACGCTGCACATTCCAGTTTTGTTAATTATACAGGGTGCGTACTGGAATTAAAAAAAAATCCACGACTCTCCATAACCATCAATATAATTTTCCAAGCCTCGTATACGACAGGTTTAGCATGACTGAAAGACTAACCGTGCATATTCTATCATCTCCTACAGTTGATAAAAAGCATACGTGTAAATGCATAGAGCAGGCAGACACAGAGGAACAGAATGACACATATCTGTAAATCAAGCCCACACTGGTATTATTATGAATTCAATAGTGTCAACACAACAAATATTGAGTACACAAGAGTGTACATGATAAGGTCAATACAATTCAGAACACTCTTCAACACCACTACCCTAACATTCAACTGGCACTCTGGCAGCTATTTCATCAACTTTTTCTCTAATATTCAGTTCATGAGTGTCTAGTTCCTGTTGCTTTGTTTTCAAAGATCGCCTTATGGCGCTGAACTTTGCGATACTTTTCAAATCCCATATTCTCTACATTGCTTCTGCATATTCATCTGCTGCTTGCTCTAGTGCCTTGATGCCCTTCTCAGTACGTCTTTTCTTTTGTTCATCTAGCTCATCCAACATTTAACAACATCCTCTTCTGGGTTTTCTGGGCCTTCGCCTTCTGCTCTTTCTCTTCTGCCAAATAATTATTGTAGGCTGTTTTGGCACTGCCAGCTGCAAGCAGCATCTTCTTGGTGATGGTCATCTTGTCCAGGCCACCAACATGTGCAACATGATCAACCACAGCATGCAGGGCAACCACCGTTCGCTACTACTACCCGTCAAACAGCACAACGACATCCTGTCCCGTCAATACCAATTAGCGTGCCATCAACCCCAACACCCGAATCGGAACATCGTCACACAACCGCGACCGCCAAGAAATATCAGGAAAGATGTAACATCCTACTTGTACGAAATTGGTCAATACATACAAGTACTCAACGCCGACCACACACAATACAAACAATGCCTGATGAACATACACAGACGAGCAGTAGCAGACGGAATAGCCGGTTACAAGCCGAACGTGGTGCTCGGAGGTTACCCACCACCCATCGCCGCGGAGGAACGTCGGTTACCGCGCGCAACCAGGACCACTTTGGCCCAGCTACGGTCGGGATGGTGCCACCTGCTCAACAGCTATATGAGCCGAATCGAAACCAATGTCAACAACGTATGTCCGGATTGTGGAATCGGCCCACACGACGTACAACATTTGTTCAACTGCCCGGCCAAACCGACACAACTTTCGGCACTCGATCTTTGGACGCAGCCAATCGATGTGGCGCGCTTCATCGGACTCGGAGCGGACTAGTGGTTGACGTTGCTACAACAACAACAACAACCACCGTTCGCTCTTTCATGTTGTGTGCCATGATTTCCTTGTTGAACGAAAACCCTCTTTCAACCTTGGCTTGATCATGAGACAGGAGCATTAGTATCTGCACTACCTACATTCCAGAGCTTCTTGCAGATGTTCTTTGACACAATGACATGCCAAAAAGTGTCCAGTCGATCAGAAGTTGGAAATGCTTGAAACAGTGCGTTCAGTTTACTGCAATGTTGTGATTCGTCACTATAGTTGCACATTTCATCGCAAAGCACCATCAACATCTGTGTTAGGGAATCTCTTGGCATCAGTAAGCAAAGTGAGACAGTTCTTCAACTGTGTCTTGTCGGCTTCTTTACAGTCCCTCTTGATGAAGACTTTTGGCACCAGCCATCTCAGGTTCCTACCAAAGTCATATCTGATAGGGCTCTTGTCCAATAGCTTTTGGACTACAGCCTGCGTGAAGTCCTGCGCTCGTGTCTTGAAAGTGAGAACTTACAGTGCACTTGCCTTCTTGTATGTAAGCTGTTTTTTTAATGCGGTCCTGGCCATGCAACCAACAACAACCTTATTGAGGGAAATCAAAACGTCTTTTGTTCCACGGCTTTCCATGACTTTAAATGAAATCCAATGACTTTCCAGGCCTGGAAAATTAAAAATCAAATTCCATGACTTTCCAGGTTTTCCATGACTGGTACGCACCCTGGTTATAAGATAAGGTAAATAAGGACAAATGTTAGGCCCTGCAGCACCTCGATAGGCAGGAACAACTACGGGTTCTGCACCACGCTTCACATGCCACTTTTACCAATGATAATAATATTTCCACTTTTAATAAGTTAAGTTTGTCGAGTTTGCAAATCAATCCACTTTCGAGATCGTCGTACAGAATACAAATCGCGTAGCGGCCGCGCTACCAAATCGTCCCAAACTTGCGGGGGAGTTCTTATTGCTAGGCTCCTCTGTAAGAACTAGGCTAGTCTGAAGGAATTCAACACGCCATAGATCAAAATTCTACAACATTCTATTCAAAAGATTTGAGCGGATCTAAATACATTAAAATGAAATTATAATGGCAATTGGATTCTTTTCAAAGCAATACTCCGATACTGATATTCAATATCAGTCATCTTGTCACATCGCATCACTCCAAAATAGCTCAATAGTTCGCATCAAGACACATAATGCATAGAATGCATGACTAATTGGGCACAACGTTCCAACATCAATGGCAAGTAAGCGCCTCAAAGAAATAGGCATCTAATATTCCAGGTAATAGTTGACCTGATACTTTGACTGATACCAAGAGGGGAAAAACAGGTCAGTCAATCAAACTCTTTCTCAAACATTACCCGTTACCACAAACCGCACAAAAAAATATGTTACCTGTAGAGGATGAAGCGCAAACCGAAGGTGACGACAACGACGGTCATGCATGTGACGTGGCCAAGCTTTTTCAATATCCGTCCAGCCAGCATGAAGAACGGCAGCTCGCCCAGAAAGCACTGCACGCCCAACATGAGGCCGTCCAATAGTTTGATCCAACGGAATCCGCACGTCCAAGCAGCAGCAACTTCTTCTACAAGCATAAGCTGCACATGGAATATGTTTTGAGAACTTGGTGGATATCAAGGGTGGATTGATACTGCCTGAAAGTAAACAATATGTCATTTTTGTAAGAAATTAATCTGCCATAAAAAGAATAAGAGGGCGTGAGCATCATTCACTCAAATTTTAGTTTTCGAGTATTGCACATTTCACAAAATTCAAAAATGAAACGAGCACACTTCAATTTCCTGGTAAGAACTATAACACTTTGCACAAAACAATATCTTTCCATCCACAAAGATAGTTGAATGCGAAGAAATGACAATCACACCACACCTGGTATGTCCAGAGGGCACCTGTAGAAGCCCCAACAACAATGCAGCTCAGCACAAAGAGCAACACTTTGGGCTGACCCAACAGGTGCAGAACAGCAGGGCCGTTATGCATACAGGAACAGAGAGCTAAACGCTTGGAGCGCTGGTCTCCGCACGGTGCAGCGGGTTGGCCCAACTGTGAAACAGGCCGTAAATATATAATATAGGTATACATTAGACCGTAAATTATCATAGTTAGCTTAGCAGTGTAACAAGCAAACATACATAAAAGTTTCGTTTAAACATAATATGAATTAAAATATAAAAAATATGCACTCGTAAATTAAAAATGTTTTTACCAAAATACCTGTGCTAAAAAAGTATCATGTATTTTCAACTTTGAAGCGAGACTATATTGGTTACCCATCACTAAATATCCCAATAACCAAGCTAAACCCTTACCACCTGCAGTGTTTTAACGCATATTCTATACATATACGCAAATCTGTCTTTGTTCCAATCAAGTTTCAAGAAGCCTACCTTGATCCTTGTAACAGTGACGATGTCAAGGATAAAGAGAGCGAGCGTAAGGAGAAAAGCAGGAGTGTAGTCCTTCTCGACAGCATCCCCAGACACTGTATCGATGAGCGCTCCTGCCAAGACGACGAACGTGCCCCAGCCAATAGCTCCCCACACTCTTTGTTGACCGTATTGCCCACCGTAGTCTCCTGAACATCATAGGTAAAGTCTCTTAAATCTTTCTGCCAAGATCAGCAGACTAACTTTCTCTACAGAAGGCTAAGTAACAATTCAGGCATAAGCAACTATAATTATAAGATCTTCATTGCCCCATGGACTGAACATCCAAATAATTTTATTATCTTTTATAATTTCACCAGAGACTGATAACAAATCTTGCAATACTGAATATGCATCGAAACAACATATTTTAATCGTCAATAAAATAGAAACACTGAGGAGTTAAATCAAGATCACAAGTCACAGAATCTGAGATCAATAAATTTCAACTTCGGTTCAGTACAATAATTCATCATAACATACCTTCTAATTGTAGAAATAAAACTGTTCTATTATGCGATAATGGTTTGACATATAATATGTACATTTCCAGCTCAGTAAGCTGCATAGTGAGTTTTTGATTGTGAAATGAAAAGAAAATATTTAATATACACAAATAAAACATTGTTATGAACCGGTCACATAGTTTCAACTTCAAAAGTAAAATACTTCTACACTGTATACAAGAATTTTACAATCCAAAAATAGCAAAGTCTCGTAAAATTGCCTTAGACTCTAAAAATAGACCTGACAGCTTTAACAGCGACGAACAACGCACTTAGCAACATGAAGCAGATGGTATCAGAGAGGGTAACTACGCTGGCAAAGCTTGACCAAGCTATCAGCATGAGGCACAGGAACATCCAAAACTGCGGGTAATGCAGGACTTCGCTCAAGGTAGGTGGCTCTTCAGGAGCATCCAAATATGCCATGAGTTTGGAATCGTCACACAGGCCTTGACACTGGTGCAGTCGAAGAGTTGTTGTACAGTGAGGGTGAGACAGAGAAGAGTTCACTGATGACGAGTTCAAGGTATCAATGGTGGCTTCAATAATTGGGATGTACGATTCAGATTCAACTCGTTCAGCAAGGAAAAGGTCTTCCACTGATGAAAATGAAATGGATTCAATACATTGCTGGTCAGAGACTTTCCAGGCTTTACACATCTCGTGGAGGACGTCGGTTGAGTTGGGTGAGCACTTTATCTGCAAAAGTAAAAACTTTGATCTTACGTTACTATTCAAATTGAAAATATCAAGTAGCTGCTGAGCTCATGCAAAAAAATTTAGTATTATGTATTAAGAATACTTGGATACTTTTCAGTCATGTAACTATTGGGTACAGACATATAAATTCTAGTATTAGCTATAATCTAGTATTAACTCTATTCACTGATTCGAAATTTCAGACAACAAATTTACCATTCACCATTCACAATCCTAGGAGAACCTACATAGCATGAAGCATTCTTGTGACCACTGATGGTGGCAAGGTAATCTTCACGTCCACAGGGAGTCTGATGATGATGGTGCCGGATGTAGGAGCCGGTGGCACTACAATCAACTGAGATGTTTGTGTTCTTTATTTCAATTACAGACTTTGGGATGGATGGTGTGAAGTACAAACTGTTGAAAGATTAGAAAAAAGCCTAATTGGAACTGGACAAAGAACCAATCTGCGAGTCTGAGAAGCTTATACCTTCCAGAGAATTAAAAATATCCGAGTCATTAGACAAAAGCCATGTCAAGAAATGAATTCTAATCTACAGTTTACATATTTAATCAGTAGCCCAAACATAAAGATTTAATTCAACTACATCACTTTGAGAATTTTAATCATAAAAAGCTGCTATTCACTTTTCATAAGAGAGCAAAGTAAATAAATGATAATCATCAATCAGTTATTGCCAATTGCCATATTGGTACCATTTTATCAACAGCTTAAATGGTAAGTTGCCTCAGCCATAATTCCCTTATAAATCATATGGTTTGTTTATCAAATATTTTTAATTTAAATGTTAGTTGGTCATACTAAGATGTTTCAATGCAAATATATCTTCAAATCCACAATGTTTTGAAAAAAACAACATTTACAGAAGTAAAAAAAATATAATTTCAAGCCACAGCTGCAGATAAACTTTAACCCAGATGAGGAAAGGCTTTTTAATGTTAACCAAAAAATCAAATGCCATATGCCAAAATAAAATTATATTGCATTAAATTTGAATGCAATCAAAAAGTATGGGTTGCATATATAGGTATAGCTAGTTTAGGCCTAAGCAGTCACAATTTTTGAACAAACCTGAATAAGCCCAAAGCTGTTATTGCAAGTGATAAGATAAGAATTTTTTTATGACTATTGCGAGCATCAGCAATGCCTCCAGCTAGCAGCTTGGCCAGCACACCCGCAAATGGTAGCACTGTGTAGGTCAGTGTTATGCCTGTCAAATGAAATCAATGTTAGTCCATGAACAGCTAACAATTTTTCCTAAATAAGCACAGCAAAAGCAGTACCATTCTGTACCATGAATCAAGAAAATAACATTGCTCTCCCACAAAACATTACAATAAATGGAGATTAAGCATTTCATTGTACTTTTTTTTACAATTGATGATAAATCAGTAAACAGGATTTTTCATATTGATTCTTTGTGTGGATAAATGCACTCTAACGGTTGACGAATAACCAACAGAAGTATGTACATTTCGTTTACTGAAATGCAATAAGACAGGCATCTACAATTGATGACAAATCAGTATACAGGATTTTTCATACTGATTCTTTGTGTGGATAAATGCACTCTAACAGTTGACGAATAACCAACAGGCGTATGTTTGTTTTGTTTACTGAAATGCTATAAGATAGGCATCATTATTTCCTGAGTTTTACTATTATGTTACAGATGGCAAGCATACCTCCCTGCAATCCTAGCTGACGACCAAACAGTGGGAGGAAGGGGAGCATGGGCGCAGTAGCTGTAAAAGACAAAAACCCTTGTAGGTAATCAGAAGACATTAATTAGCTCTCAGAAATTGAATTTTCAAATCCAAGAAAACTAATACATATGTATTGCAAATTATGAGTAATATATATGGAATGGCCAGCATATTTTGTAATGACTGAATGAAGTTCTTATTGAAAATTTGTTCTTGATTAACCCCCAAATTAAATATTTGAGCTCCTGACTTGAAAACAATTAGATTTAAAAACTTATGAAACAAAGTTAAACTTCTGTAATTTACAAACCTAGTTTGTTGACCATTCTGCACATGCATGTTATTTGATGAATTTTAGACCCCAAATTCATGTGAATAATTATTTTTGATGCACACTTTACAAAGTATACATTAATAACGGCAGTTCCAAAGCACATGCAATTAAAGTTGAGTCAATTTTTATGATTATGAAATCCAAATGTTTGCAGTAATTAGTAGTAATATTATATTATATATAGTAGTAATATAAGTAGTATATTAGTAAGTAATATTGCCTGAACCATACTAAAGGTGATAAATGAGGTTTATTTCTACAACCACTAATAGGTTATAATTGGGTTCTAAACTATGAATCTTAAATAAAAGTCTCTGCATTGAGTTAACAGGAAATTATTTTCTTACATTCTGGTGCCTATGTTATAGATGAATATTAGGACAAATCAAAGTAACTTCAATTAAAAAAAGTCTCAAAATTGGCACTGAATCTCATTTGTGGTTAGACAGATATATAATATTCATAAAGGGTTCCTATATTACGTCACCACTTTATTAATGATACCGGTACATGAATGTAGATACAAATTTATTATAACTTAAAATAATTGAATGCAAAAATGTTTGGTGTACTGAGTTTATTTATTTTATTGTTAGGTTTTATTTATTTACAACCCTAACAATAAATTATTGTACTCACCAGCAAAAATGAGAAAGTAGTGTGCTTTTTGAGGCACCAAATTTGCATTGATTTTCATTTTGACCAAATTTTTAACCCATCTAACACCAAATTTTAGATTATCATAAAATATAAAACTGCTAAATAGCTGAAAACAAGGAGCAGTCAATTAGTTAAAACATACTTTCAAGGTTCTCTACATGCTGACACTTTTCTAAAAACATTGATAAATAACATAGATCAATGTCTGGAAACTTTGCAGTCAGCCATTTCAAGACAAGATTGTAAAATATCTATTTATTGCTAAAAATTTTCTTTTCTGCTTAAAAGTGATATTTTCACTAATGCTGGTATATTGCAGGTTAATTGTGCACTAATTATATAAGTGATAGCTCCTCTAGCAGGAATCTTGTAGCTTTGAAAATGGCAGGAAAGCTCTATTTATTCAAAGATAAGAGTCATGCCTGCCTGACAAAAAGTCAAAGCCAATCTATTAATAATGAGGCAAGGCTAGTGAAAAAACTTACAATGTGGTACCCAGAATCATTTTGATAACAGCTCCATTTGCCCAACAACAGACTATTTTAATTCAGAAGAAACAGATGGTCAGAAACATTATTAAAACACTAACAGAGACCACTGAACATTACAAACAACCAAATCAAGAAGCTAGGCCTACATTCCTCATTCCACCTACATTCCACACCCCCAGATTGTGGTAGTCTCTGAGGATATTGCAATTACTGCTTGTTGCTCATCAACAAAAGCAATATAATTCTGATCAGAAATACAATTTATAAGGTTCACAAATGCATGATGGCTAAAAAAGCTGTTTTTATAGTGCTAGAAAGATGAGGTTCATTGATGTTTTTAAAATAGATCGTTTGTACAGAAGGCTGATGGCATAAGTGCTGTAGCAACTTAAGTGGCATTGAAATTCAGGTAAACAACAGGCAGGTATGGATTGTATCTACTTTTTATGCCACGAGTAGAAATTTCCTAGCAATTTAAGATCCAGATGAATCTTCCTAGATGATTATCTCTTGACCATGTAGGTAGTTTAAGATGGCATCATGCAAGGTTTTTTCAATATCTATGGTATTTACTGATCTACTTATAGGACTCAATGGGGATTAGAATGGTTTATGAAATTATTAAATTAATGAGATTGACTGGTAGACCATTCCATAAATAATGAAGCAATTGCAATTTTTCACTTGCTTCATTAATTGTTCTGTTTGGTATGTGTAGTCTGGCTTTTCAGACATAATTTTAGAAGCACACCGGGTAAAACAACAAATTATAGAGAGAAAAGAGAAAGGAGGTTTTCTCTTTTCAAAGAGTAGAAAAGAGAAAGGAGGTTTTCAAAATCTAAACCTCAAAAACATGAGGGATACATTTTTTTCAGATAATAGGAGAGGGAACAAGTTGTTTTACTCATGATGTGGCAAGACCCACACAATAATAGTGCTGGCCACAATGTGTGCCATGTTGGCTCATGAAATTGACGAGTGCACAATGTGCACACACACACACACACATATATGTGAATAGTTTGACTTGTGAATAGTTTTGTTATAAAGTTGAAGACTTCCTAATTCTCACTATTATTTACCTCTTTTCGAGATCTTTAATCATTTCTACTTGGCCACGAGATTAAATCTGAAATACCACTTTTCGTCCTAAATTTATTGAGTTAACTCATTGATTTTCTATCCTCTTATACAAATTAGAAATTGGTCAGGTTACTTTGGCCAGAGTGGCGGTAAACGGCGCAATGATTTACGTTCTCATGTCAAAACAGCAAACTAGTTAGCAAAGGGGCAATGACAACACGTGGAGATAACTTCTATAGTTACTATATTATAGGAGAACCTAGGCTAATACAAATCGGCAAGTCGGCGAAGCTAAGACACGATTTACATGGAATATAGTCCTATACTGTCACACCAAAAATATGAAGCTCAGACAGGATTACACAGAAATAGTATTGTTTCTTTAGAAAAGAAGGATACTATCCCGACCAATATCTACCCAGTTATTTCATTTCTAGGATCCCAGTCTCTACGGAAAATAAGACAGCTTCTAAATATTTCCCGAATTACATCACCGGAATTTGTGGATGACGGTGGAGCCACGGCGCAGCGGACGGCAAGTTTTCCAAGGCTAAAGTGACCGCGAAGATTTGCAATCGAAATTCTTCGGTCCGCGTTCTCTGATGTGCGTTGTTCTTGGGGGAATGCGGTCTTGGTTACTTCTGTAGATGCTGTTATTCCGGAGTAAAATTCTATCTCAGTGGGTATTTGGTCGTAGCTCCTCGGATTTCACTATGTCGAATCCTTACTTCTGTAGATGCTGATAATCCGGAGTAAAATTCTATCTCAGCGGGTATTTGGTCGTAGCTCCTTGGATTACACTATGTCGAATCCTTGTTTCTTCGTTGTTGTTTTCCTTTGGAGATATACAGCGTGGCCAACGGATGTTGTCTGAATTTGACGACGTGACTAGAACACCACAATTGGTTTCCTAAACTTCACTGTTCCAAATGACGGGCTGCAAGATCCTCCGCGCTCGACTGACTCTGCGCTTGAACTAACTCCGCTCTCAACTGGCTCTATGCGCAAACTAACTCACTACAGCGACTCTTCTTTATATAGTCCCGCTCTATCATGTAGACCCGCCCTCTGGTGGTTGGCTTGACTGAAGTTGACTCTTTAATACATATAGAGTTGCGATCCCTACTAATTCCTACACTAATCATATGGTGTTAGTATTAGATGGCAGAATAAACTTGTTTAGACACAGGTAGCTAATGATCAGATTTTGCTCAAAAGAAGGTTGTAGATTTCTTCATTATTTGGACAGCATTGAAGTAATTGGAGTAACAGCTACAACATTGAGCAGCCATTTAACCTACCACCTGATATTAACTATGTAGCAACCAGACCAGGTCTCTAAGCATTACAATTGAGCAACTTCATCTCAAGATGTGAGATGAATTCAATAGGCTCTGTGCCACCCTTGACAATGTTAAACTCAACAAGACTGTCACTTGTACTGTGCTGTAGGAACCAACCAGTATTGTCATCTTGCAGTGGCCCAACATCATCTGACTGACAATACCTGAGCCCAAATCTCTATGCATTGAACTCCAGCTATCCATCTCACAACAACCAGATTTTCTGAGCTTTCACAGTTATTTTCATGGTTCAAAATTTTTGTTTTGTATTATATTTACAAGTATCATGTACTTATTTCCATCAAAATTTCCATATCCAATGCTTCCAATAACTTGAAAATGAATGTTGTCACATTCAAAACATTAATAACTTAAAATTACTTCCTTAAACCTGCATTTTGATCAACAAGCATCATTTGAAGAATATTGTATGATCTTTAAAATTTATGCAACTGAATTCTCTGGTCATTAACCAACAGAGTTTAAACATATATACGATATATACATGCATGCTTGTGTCCCATGGTCTATTCATTGGATAATTATTGTATCAGTTCTAAGGGACAGAGTTTGTAAATGCAGTCCTGGAAATGGTAGGTGGACTGAAAGACAAGTGAATCACTGTATAGGTATGCTATGTTTATAATACAGATATGTAACAAAGACTCTCCAGCACAGCAACGTTTTGTTTGGAGGACTGGTCAGTGATTGCTCTATCAGTGCAGATGGCACTGCTTAGAACTGCTAGTATGTCACTGAAGGCAGAGATAGGGGCTGGAAGAGATATAGTCAAATGGGGTAATATAATGGGGTAATATAACATAGATAAGTAGGTCAGTGGCAGACACTCACAAAAAATGAATGTTTTCTTTAAATCCATTTTCCACCTCTAATTTCAACATTTTTATGGTGATATGCCTCAAGTCTCCTAGGAAATGCTCCAATTATTCAAAATAAAGATCAAAGATCATTATTCAAATATTTGAAGGAGACAAAATAAATACAGAAGTTATTAAGAAAAACATGTCATATATTCATGTTCTTTAAATGCTGACTTAGATATTGTTGCACATATATGTACAAAATGAAAATTTAAACTTTATTACCTTTGAAACAAATAATAATTTGTGTAATTTATCTGTCATAAGGCACCACTTTGGGTGAGTAATACCATCAAATGGGGGTAATAAGGGACAATTTTTAGCATTTTTTGTAGATAACTTCTTATCATGAAATATTTCATAAGCATGTTTGGGCTCATTTTGAAGGTCTTTGCAAGGGCTATTGTATGGTGATTAAAAAAAATTCCATATGCTATTTGTAAGGTGCCAGATGCAAAAGAAAAGCATCCCAAATTACCCCTGGGAATGTGGTAATTTGAGACACTTGAAATAAAACTTTATTTTAGAACGTTTGAAGCATGCAGAGTGCACTCATCCATTAAAAACAGTACTCAGAAGTCCTCTTCCTCTATATAGATGTAAAATAAATAAGGTTTTCTGTGATTTGTACTTGTTTTTTCTTTATTGATACAATGTTACCATATCCATACATTCCCGCATTATTGATGTGATATTACCATATCTAAAGACATCCAATTGAGCATTGACAACATCACAACAACCTTGTCCACTGCAAGCTTCTTATTAGCAGCCATATTGATTTCTTCTGTATCTGTAAGCTTACAGGACTGGGCTTGTAATTTTGCCGTATTTTAATTGGGTCATGTGAATTACTAGAACAAAAAAATATAGCTCAGTACTCACTGCAGTGAGTGACAGAGAGCGCATTTTCTTGTTGACGAAAACTTGGTCACGGACGGATGGACACAGACAGACAGACAGACATGGCAAGCACAATAGTGCATTTTTTCCATAAATGAGAAAATGCGCTAAAAAGGTCATAAAAAGATACCTGAAACAGACAGGAATGTTTTTGTGACAACCATTATATTTCTTGGGATAAATAAATCATAGTTTAGGTTAAATACTTTTTGCAGAATTCTATCTATGACATTCTATGTGCAATTTTGTAATGCATTACCAATGATGCATTAATTTGTCATTAAGTGAATTTTTTTTCACTGAGTGAGGTAAATGTAATCAAAATTCTTTGTCGTCAATCAATTTTTTAATGGAGATTTTATTAAACAAGGTTCTACTGTAAATGTGTTTTTAGAGGTGTCCAGTAT